GTGCACCACCACCCCCGGCCTTTATGTTGAATTTATTTGAAGATTATTACTCTACTCCCTAACAAAAATCATCAACAACATCAACATCACCTGTTCTCTCCATGAAGATAAGCACTTCTTATCATAATAATATTAAAGTTTTTAATAACCATGTTACTGTTGATATAGCCTAGATTGGCCTGTGAGCTTATATTGATGCCTATCGTGGATGTGTTTGACTATTTCAAAAGGCGTTAATCACAAGTCCTAACATTATTTGGTATGTGTTGTCTTTTTACTTCAGTTGAAAAAATTAATGGATGAAGTTAGCAGAAAAACAGCTGTCACAAGTGAGACCATGAACCCAAGGAAAAGTAGAGAGAAAATGGTTTTATCATATGGATAATTTCAGCCATTCTTACTGGAAGTCACTCAAGCCATCTTTGAAAACAAGTCATGAAAAATCACAAACTAGCTGGGCGTGGTGTCACACACCTTTAGTCCCAGCTCCTGAGAGGCAGAGACAGGTGGATCTCCATGAGTTCAAGGCCAGCCTGATCTACATAGCAAGTTCCAGGTCAGCTGGGGCTACAGGGAGACCCTGTCTCAAAAAGACCAAAAATTAAAAGAAAAGAAAAGAAAAGAAAAGAAAAGATCACAAACTGGAAAAGGCTTGAGGAAGTAACAACACTGCAATACTCAGAATACGCAGAGTACTGTTACTCTGTACCAGCACCAAGGCCCTGAAAGCAGGTCTTTCCAACTGACTACAAGGATCTCAGATGACACCCTCTGAATCTCAGTTTCTTGCCCCTCAGTCACCAAAACTGAGCTTGAATTAAACTGTTCTAGCTCTGACAGCTTCTTGCCAGACAGGTCTAGTGACTACTAATTCCCCCTCAGGCCTCAAGCGCATCAGACCATTGAAGTTGTAGGACTTCTTGGGGCCTTTGAGAGTTCTCACTGTGTTCCTGACTGTCCCACAGTCGATAGTCCTATAGAAACTAAGAAATTTCTTGTTAACCATAAACTGAGAAATTTCTTGTTAATCTTACACATGTACACGCAGTCCTCTCAGAAGCTATTACATCAATTGTTGCTTTAAGGACAGTATATGGACCACATCCCAATGCTTTTTATGCCATGAATATTGTCTTGGTACATCATGTTAGGCTTGTAAGTGACATCAAAGATGCGTCGTTTTTAATAAAACCTCTATTAACTGTGCATATGCATGCATGTAAATATACATAATAAAATATGTTTTAATGTATTCAGAGACAATAAATGTGTCTATCCAAATTTATTACTAACAATTTCTTTTACAAACCTTTCTTCCCTCTCTACCAGACTATGAGTTTCTGGAAGCTTCTCTTGACACACACACACACACACACACACACACACACACACACACCCTTTTCAAATACTCTTTCTCATTTCCATCCTTTTGCTATTTAGATCGAGGCTAGATGATCCTGATGGTTTATTGAAAGTTGGAGCATAGTTTCCTTTTGTGTTTATTTTATATTTCATGTGTTGGCCTCCCCTACCACACTATCAGCTCCTTGATGTTCCCTTATTTACTGTTGGTTGCTGCCAAAGAGCTATTTTCAAATTTTTCTCCCTTAGGCTAATCACTTACCCAACCTTCCTTACAACTATTGGCGGCATATAACCTACCAAAAAGAATCAATAATGATGCAGCTCCACGTGATTACCACTAAACACATATTGACTATAGAGATTCAGGTTTACATAAATTTAAACTCAAACTTTACAAATTTTAACCTAAAATTTTTACTTTAGTCACTTAAGTCACAGATGAAGTGCTTCCTGGTTGCCTGTGGCTAGCAGATGTCCTTGTGGACTTCACAGATTTTATGGTGGTTCCAGAAACTTCTACTATGTGTATCTGTTTTAAAAGATGCTAAGAAGACATCTGAAAAACTCCCACTGTATCAATTAAGTGCGATGGAAGGGAGGAAGACAGGGAAAGCTAAGAACAGACCCCTCTCTCCCATCACCTCCCCTCTCCTTGTTTTAGACGTGGTCTTATGAGAACTTGCTGCCTAGAGGTGAAACGTGATTTATGATCACAACACAAAAAGCCTAAAGGAAAAAAATTTTAAAACATAGAAAAATATCGAGGGACAGAAATTATTTGGCTCACCAAGATCATAGTTAAGCTGTCAATCAAGCCTCTGTACTTCTTTTTGTCAAAAAAGAATATCCTTAGTTTATACCAATGTTGTTATGATTTTCTACCACTTAGAGCAGGGCCTAACACGGGAAGGAGCTCAAAGCATTTGTTGATGCACATCATTTATATTTTTACTTGTTTTTATGTTTCAAACATCTGCTACAATCCCTCAACCATGTTAGCTATGAATAAAAAGTTTTGTTGAATTAAACATTTTGGATAACTGGGCATAAACTCTCAGCTAACTTGAAAT